CACTCATGGGTAGCAGATGGAGAAGAGGCGGCAGGCTGAGGTGTGGGAGGCGAACCAGTCACCCCCCTCTAGCCATTTCACCAGGGGCACGAAGTGGGCTACGAGGTCAGAGGGCTAGTGCTTGTGGGAGATGGCCCACAAGGACTCCACTACCTTTTCCCGCACCACCGTCTCCTCAAGGTGGACAGAGACTCTAGTGGGGGCTGCAGGGGTGGGGGAGGGGTGGGTGGCAATGATGCTCTGCTCAGCCCTCCAGCCCTGAAGCCATCCCCCTGGACAGCAGCCCACCCCTCTACCATCCCAGCTCCATGGCTCCTGTCTCTGCCCCGGGGATGGGAGCAAGGACCACGCATGCCACTCACCAGCAGGCCGTGAACATACTCTGGACCCCCCACCAGGCCTATGAAGGGTCCCAGCTGCTCAGCCAGGGCCAGAAAGACCTCATCCTCAGTGTAGATGGTATCTGCAGGGGCAGGGCATTCCCATCACAGCACACTCAGAGGCCCCGGTACCATGGTATCCTGGCCCCAAGATCGCAAGCTTGCTGTCAGAACCCAGAGTTTTCCCATATGGCCAGCACAGAGAACAAGATACGAGCTTGGGTTGGGTGGGGGAGCACTGCATGACAGGGCCACTCTACACCCCATAGGGTAGGGAGACAGAGTCCCATCCTGTGCAACACTGTGGCAAGCAGATTTCCTGTTCAGGTACAGCTTACACTCTCAGCACTGTTCTCCGCCAAAAATCCATTTCTATCTGTTCAGACTCGTTCAGCTGCTGCCTCCTGGAGCCTTTGCAGGCTGTCCCTCCCCCAGACTGCCCCAACCACCGTCCTCTGTGCCTGGCTTCTACCTGAAGACAGTGCCAAGCCCAGCCAGAGTCTCAGGCCTCAGGGCTGGGCAGGGCAGGCCAGGGCAAAGGTGATCTCTGGGATTCTTCCATTCAGACCTAGGACTTACCAATGGAAGTGCAGCACCCAGTGCTCAGAGCACCACCTCCAGAACCGCGACACTACACTGCTATACTTTAAGATGCCAGCCTGGCATTTTGCTCTACCCCACGATCATGCTGCAGTAATCGTTAACAAAACCAATCCTGTATGTTCTGCTGGCATGAGACTGAGGCTTCTGCTTTTCTGTCTGGACAGCACCACCTTTTCCCAAAGGACACGGCACCTGCCACATGCAACTGGAGATGCTCCCAGGCAGCAAGTCCAAAGAAGGGACCTAAAGTCCCTTGGGGCTCTGACCCCACTGTGTCTGGATACCCGGCAGCTCTTGGTTTGAAGCTCCCACATTCCCCCCATCCCAAGCCCCAGTTCTTTCCATCCAGGCAGGCAGAACATTGATGAGACTGTCCTCCCAGCCAACACTTAGGTGTTAAACAGACTGAACGCTCTCCATATCTCTAATACGAGTAACACGACTGTGTCCTCCTGGCAGAGCCCATGGCAGGTCTCAGGCTGGGAGTCTCACTCTGGTCTGCGGCTGCCTTCCAGCAGACTTTCAAGAGGACATTCTGCCTCCACCTTTCTCTTCCTCAGCCTTCCCCTCAACACAGTCCTGCAGTACATAAAGCTTGTCTATCTGCCCCTCAGCCTCTGTACCCCATCAACCACGGCCCCCGCCATGGGCTTCTCTTATTAAGCAGAAGCCATCTCCAGGCACCCCCACAGCACAGGGCCCCAAGAGTCCCCACCTGTAAGGAAGGAGAGGAGTATACTTTGGGTCCTTTCTGCTCCAAGGGCCAAGGCGATGGTGGACAGCTTCTTGATGCTGTTGAGGTGAAGCTGAGGAGAGAATAAGGAGGGAGAATGTCAGTAATCCCAGACTCAAAGGATCTCCACAGTGCTGGGAGCAGACATTCAACACACCCACCATGCCCTCCTCTGACCTGGAGCACAAAGTTCAATAGAAACAGCGCACTTTCCGAGTTCATGTATGACCACACACGCTGCCCACCACTGGCTACTACACCTCATACTCCACTTAGTAGCAGCCACTGCATAGCATGCATGCATGCATGCTCTGGGCCAGGCCCTAGACAAGGCACATACACCTGCGACCTCACTGAACCCTCAAAGCCATCGTATAATGTGTGAAGTGGCTCACAGCGTTAATCCTGTGAGGCTCAGCACAAGGCAGAAACTGGCCAGCTCACAGAGCTAAGAGGACGGCTGGTGGAACAGGCATTTAAACACAAGACTTGTGGCTAACGGTGATGATAAGAGAACAAACAATAGGATACTACAAAAACAAAAGTCAGGTATGCTGATGCACACCTGTAATCCCAGTACTCAGCAGACTGATGTGGAAGAATCATGACTTCAATCCAGCTTGGCGTACATAGTAAGATCTTTTCTCAAAATAGCAATGACCACATAGGGGCATCCACAGCTGTGCTGTGTGTAACACCATGGGTGAATGGGAACCCGAGACTGTAAAGGTGGGTCTGGGTGCACAGTTTCTGACTCATTAACTCCCTCTGGAATGCAGGCCATAGAACCTGAGGTTTGTTTCAGAAGAGGGCCATGATAACTACTGGACCCAGAGTTTCCATCTCAGAGCCATTGCAGCAGAATCCTGACCAGTGTCTGACGGTAAATCCCAAGACTAATTACGGGATGGGTCCAGCCCCACGTGCCAACAAGAGGGCCAAAGAATGCAGACGGAGGTGCTGCTAGGCCCCGAGCCTGGCCCTGTCAGCACCCTGTCACACCCTTTCTGCTTGATCACACTTTGACACAGTCTTCCCCATCCAATGAAGTCTGTATATATATATATATAGGACAAAACCAGAGGGTTTGGAGAGCTTCCAGAAAGCTGAAGATGTGAGGGTTCATGGAGCGTAGGGGGTGTAGACAAAGCACTCGGCTCCTGGGGCCTTGCCATACACTTCTTTTCAGTGGCATCCTTATGGTAAACCCGTGAGGATTTGTCCCCGGTCCTGATTCCTTTGAGCTGATCAGCCCCACGTGGGGGCAGAGTAAGAAACACAGGCAAGCAACCTGGGACTTCACAGCCGCAGCAGGGGAAGTTAGGGTGAGAAGTGAACCGAATTAGAGGTGCCAGACTGTGTCTGCTGTTGCATAAGGAAATACTCGGGGAGGGAGTTATGACTCTGGTGGTAGAGCACCAGCCAATGAACAAAAGCATCAGATACCCAGTTGAAGTTCTAGTCTCAGATAAAGAAAAAGAAAGAAAAAAAAAAGGAAATGCTTGCTTTCTACTGGGGAGAAATGATCCCACTTTTCAGGGCCACAGCTTTTCTGTTGAATGTGCTGGAAATGTGGAGAAAAATCAGGGAATTTTCTTTGTCTTTACACATGGGCTGTAAGCTATTTCCAAGTCCTGAGCCAGTGCTGGTGAATAGGAAAGTAGTGTCTGTGGGTGAGTGTTTCAACATCCCATGATAAGTTCACTCTGAATTGAGGGTGGGTCCTTGGGCAAACCACAGTGTCCTAGGCACCCCAGCTGGAGAAGACTCAGTACACACAGGGCACAGCCTGGGAACAGAGGCAGGGGGAGGCTGAGGATACATCAATAAGCCCAAGAAAATCAAGAACCATAACTGGGCCTGAAGTGAGGAGAGGAACTCAGAGGGATCCCCATAGAAGCTGTGAATGTAAGCCACTGGGTGAGGCTATTTGTCCCAGCAGTCCCAGAGAACAGGTGCATCAAATTCTCGTAGTGTGTTTACATGAAAGGAGAAGCAGCAGCGAGACCCTCCCTCCCTGAAGAAACTAGGGTGGGAACAAGGGACACCTGTCGAGGGCAGCCTGCGTAGACAGGTTCCTAACCCGATAGCTCCAATTGCGACCACTGCAGTGGACTGCAAACCCTACCTTGTGTGCTTCTCCTGCCTAGCTCCAGTGCATGGAACACAATGATGTCATGTGTGCTGAGTGCAGCGACATCACTGAGACCAGCTAACCCTGGTGGGCACAGAAGGCCTCCTCCCCCAGGGTATGGCAGACCAGGAAGCTGCACTGAGGTGAAGAGTAGGCCCTACACCCCGGGAAAGAAAAGAGTGACTGAGAGCTTCTCTGCAGATGATCCTCTCATCAAGACATTTAAGCATCTCTTTGGGATCGCAATGGAACGATGAACAGCTAGGTAAATAATGCAGCTGGGCTTAGTGACATGCACCTGAAATTCCAGCCCTGAGGAGGCTGAGGCAAGAGGATACTAGGTACAAGGCTAGCCTGGACTACAGAGTTGAGACCCTGTCTTCAAAAGCAAAAGAGGGGCTGGGGAGGTGGCTCAGTGATAGACTGCTTGCCTTGCATACAGGAGACCCTGGGTTTGATTCCTCAGCACCACATAAGCAGCAAAGGCTGGAAGTGGCACTGGGGCTCAAATGGTAGAGCCCTAGCCTTGAGTTGAAGAGCTCAGGGACAGTGCCCAGGCCGAGTTCAAGCCCCATGACTGACCACAAGAAAAAAGAATAGAAAATGAGGGGCTGAGAAGGTAGCTCAGTGGTAGACTGATTGCCTTGCATGCATGATGACTAGGGTTCAATTCCTCAGCATCACCTAAGCAGAAAAAGCCAGAAGTAGTGCTGTGGCTAAAGTTGTAGAGTGTTAGCCTTGAGCTGAAGAGCTGAAGAACATCACCCTGTACCAGAGTTTAGGCCCAACAACTGACCGAGAAAAACAACAGAAAATGAAATATGTAGGCATATTCTCAAGAATATGTAGGTCCTTGAACACCATGTCTACTGGGGCACTATTCACCACAGCCAAGAAACAACCCAGAAGCTCCATGGTGTCTGCAGAGAAATGAGTGACACTGAACATGGTCATGTGTAGCAAAGTCAGCCAGGTTCAGAGCAGTGGAGTCACAGGCCCAACTGTGGATGAATGCATAAAGAAGATTTAGCCTGGTCAGTCGGTGCTTGAGTCCCAGGCCAGAGGCATGATCTTGAGATGCCGCCCCTCCGGGTGCCTATGAGGACCTTTCATCAGAATTTTTGAGTCTGAGGCACAGTTCAGTGCCAGGATGATGAAAGCTGACATGGATGTTGATGCTGAAAATCAGAAGGAACTGGAGGAAAAAGCACGACATTAATTAAGTGTTGGAACTCCAACACACACTTGAAGATCTCTCAGCAAGAGTAGATGCAGTTAAGGAAGAAAACCTGAAGCTAAAATCAGAAGACCATGTTTTTGGACAATATATAGAAAACCTCATGTCTGCTTCTAGTGTTTTCCAAACAACTGACATGAAAAGTAAAAGAAAGTAAGAGATTTAGTTCCCTTCTCATTTACGGAATTGCTGGTTCTCTCTCCCTGTCTCTCTCCCCCTTTCTTTCTCTCCATCCCTTCCCCCACCCTCCTTCTCTCTCCCCTTTAAAACTAGGGAAGATTCCAAACGTTACAGTACCTTTGTTTGTGGCTTCGTTGAATGTTTATTAAAATTCAAATCTAGGCAAAATTAACTACTTAAGAGGAGACTTCCATGAGTCTGTGTATTATGTTAGTCTAAGAAAATGTGCAGATGTGTTGTAAAGACTTTATAATTAGAATTGCATATATTTATGAAACTTGAAAATGAATGTTTTATTGAATTTGCTTTGGTATATAGGCTTAGTCTTTTATTACACGCTTACTTAATAAGATATACAAGAAAATAACCATGTTGTTAAAATGTGACCAAAGTCATGTACTGAATGCTCAGCTTTATGTATGTACCTGTTCACCATTGTGTGCCTCTCCTCCATCTGCCTCATCCTTCCCATTTACCTTCTCCTAAGTCAAGATAATTTCACATTTGTAAAAGTTCTTTGAATAGTAATCACCCGACAGCAAGCTGATCTGTAAGTCCTGAAGTTAACCAAAACCTTGCCTAGAGTTTGTCAGTTGTACTTTCTAATAATAATATAGGACTGATGGTTTCTCTTTAATCATTTGAAAGCAGATTTGGACTATAAAGAGGATTGTTGAAACTAAATTATCAAATTGAAATCTGTTTAAAAACAAAGAACCAACTTGCTTTTGCACGAAATAACCCCCTTGCTATCTGAAAAGATAAGAATTTTGCTTATGGGCTGCGATGGTGGCTCAGTGATAGAGTGCTTGCCTTGCAGGTATGAGGCCCTGGGTTTGATTCCTCAGCACCACATAAGCAAAAAGAAAAAAGCCGGAAGTGGCGCTATGGCTCAAGTTGTAGAGGGCTAGCCTTGAGCTGAAGGGACAGCACCCAGGCCTAGAGATCAGGCCTCATGACTGGACTCCCCCCCCCAAAAAATTTTTTTGGTCATGTATTGATTAGAAGTAGAAAGTCTGGGAGGAATACATAGAAATAGGTAAAAATATAATGTGATAAACATAGCAACCAACTCCAAATGTTTTCACTCCCAATTTGTATTGTCTCTGGCACAGAAGAGATCTTCCAGGATATATATATATATATATATATATATATATATATATATATATATATATATATGAAAATGGGTTAAGTTTGACTGATCTTACATACACCACATGCTATGCTATTCCAGCTCTAGGATTTGGTTGCAAGGTTTATTTGTTGTACCTAGTCAATGAACTGTTACCAAATTCCTTGAAGAGTATACTGGTACTAGAATCATGAATGAGAGAATTTTATATGTATAATAATTGGTAAACTCAGTATTTTTTTAAATTTTTTTTATTGTAAAGATACTATACAGAGGGTTACAGTTACGTTAGCAAGGTAATGAGTACACTTCCTATTGAGTATTGTTCCCCCTCCATTGTTTTCCCCCTGCCATCCCTTCACTCCCTACTTTCCCTGATGTTCTTTTTTTAAAAAATTGTGGTTAATTGAATACATAATTTCCCAAATTTCACAGTATTGTGGAATAATGATGCTCATTTAAAGTCACAAGTTCATTCTAACTTTCCTGGGGCAAATTGTCTATCAAAGTCTATAACATATAGTGGTGTACACTATACACCATACATGTGATCAGCAGCATGGGAAGCTCAGTATTTTTATCTCACTCTGTAAATTTAACTAATTGGTTGGTAGAATTTTAGTCATTCTCATAACAATTTCTAAAAATTTAGTTCATAGATTCCGTTTGGTAAAGGAATCAAGATCCGAGGTAATATTAAGTTATTAAACTAGGAAATGAGATCCACTAATATAGCTTATGGTTATTAGATTTGAACTACTTTAATCATGGGATAATCTTATGTTCTAGTACAAGATTTCATAAATGACTTTAACTATATGATGATGTAATTGTCGTACTGCAAACATCCCTTTTGCATCCCTTTTGCATCCCTTTTGTGACCTAAATTTACAAATATGTAAAATTGTGTTGCTTTTCTGCTTTGCTGTTTAATAAAAAGATGTTTCACACATGCAAAAAAGAAGATGTAGTCTATTTCCATCACAAAGTACAACTAGGCCAGGAACAAGAAGGAAATCCTGTCATTTGCTGCCACATCTGTAGAACTACAGATCGCTGTGGAAAAAGCAAGAAGTCAGACACAGAAAGGCAAATACATGTTCTTGAAACAGACAAGAACAGGGCAGAGGAATTGTCAACAAGACTAGGAGGGTCCAGGTGAGGAATGGAGTCACATGCAATGAGGTAGACCAGAAACCCAGGGTGAGGAGTCACTGCTGATCCTCTCCTGAGCACAGTGACAAATTTCTGCTTCAAAATCACCACTGCTAAGATGAAAATGAGTAGGGAATTAGAGAATGAAGCTACCTCCTCAGAAACGACCAGGCATGAAAAGAGATCACCCTGCTTTCAGGAATATGCATGAAATGCTTACCTCTAATCTCCAAATGAGTTCTCTGGGGATGAAAACATTTTTAGAAAAAAATGGCCATTATTGCCAAAGAAATTCCTGCACAGAAATGTCTCATTCTATTTTCTTTCTTTTGTGCCAGTCCAGTGGTTTTAACCGGGCCTGGATGCTTTGCTGAGCTTTTTTGTTCCAGGCTGGCACTCTACCACCAGAGAGTGGAGATAAGAATTGGAGATAAGAATCTCATGGGCTGAACAAGTTTACACTCCCACCAACAATGAAGTAAGCTTCCCTTCTGTCCACATCCCCTCCAGCATCTGTTGTTATTGGAGTTCTTGATTTTTGCCATTCTAACTGGGGTGAGGTGGTATCTCAATGTTGTTTTGATTTGCATTTCTTTTATGGCTAGGGAGGTTGAGCATTTCTTCATGTGTCTGTTGGCCATCCTTCTTTCCTCTTCAGAGAAGTTTCTCTTTAAGTCTTTAGTCCACTTATTTATTGGGCAGTTGTTTCTTTGAAGATTTGTTGTTGGGGGATTTCATTTTTTGAATTCCAGGTATATTTTAGATATGAGACCCTTGTCTGTTGTATAGCTAGTGCAGATCTTCTCCCAATCTGTGGGCTTTCTATTGATCTTGCTAGCTATGTCCTTTGCCATGCAGAAGCTCTGCAATTTCATGTAATCCATTTGTCCAACCTTTCTTTGATTTGTTGTGTTTCTGGATCTCTATTAAGAAAATTTCTGCCTGTGCCAAGGAGACCGATGGTTTCTCTTATTCCATCCTGTAATATTTTCAGAGTGTCTGCTTTGACTCCAAGGTCTTTGATCGATTTGGAGTTGATTCTGGTGCAGAGTGATATATAAGGATCTAGTTTTAGTTTTCTACAAGTAGTTAACCAATTTTGCCAACACCATTTACTGAAGAGGCTGTCGTTCTTCAATTCTATTTTTTTTTTTTTTGCTCCCTTATCGAAGATTAGATGGCTATACATCTGTAGGTTCATTTCTGGGTTTTCAATTCTATTCCATTGGTCCTGAGGTCTGTTCTTGTGCCAATACCAAGCTGTTTTGATTACTATGGCTTTATAGTAGAGTTTGAAATTTGGTATTGATATTCCTTCAGCACTGTTCTTTCTGTTAAGGATTATTTTTGCTATTCGGGTCTTTTATTGTTCCATATGAAATTTTGGATTGCCTCTTCTATTTCCTTGAAGAATGAGGTTGGAATATTTATAGGTATCACATTGAATTTGTACTTAGCTTTGGGAAGTATTACCATTTTCCAATCCAGGAGCATGGGAGTTTTTGCCACTTTCTACATTCTGTTTTGATTTCCTTTTTCAAGTTTTTAAAGTTTTCATCATAGAGGTCCTTCACTTCTTTGGTTAAGTTAATTCATAGGTATTTTATTTTTTGTGGGGCTATTATGAATGGTGTTGCTTTCCTAATTTTAGCCACACTTTTCTCCTTGTTAGCATACAGAAAAGCCATTGATATTTGAGGGTTAATTTTATACCCTGCTGCTTTGCCAAAGTTTTGAATCAGCTTGAGTATTTTGGGAATGGAGTCTGTGGGATTCTTTAAATACAAGATCATGTCATCTGCAAATAGGGAGAGTTTTATTTCTTCTTTCCCTATTTGGATCCCCTTTATGTTTGCATCTTGTCCTATTGCTGTAGCTAGGCATTCTAATACTAGATTGAAGAGCAGTGGAGAGAGTGGACATCCTTGTCTTGTTCCTGAGTTTAGAGGAAATGGCTTTAGTTTTTTACCATTAAGTACAATGCTGGCTGTAGGTTTGTCATATACAGCCTTTATTGTATTGAGGAAGGTCCCATGGATTCCTAATTTTTCCAGAACCTTTATCACAAAGTGGTTTTGGATCTTGTCAAATGCTTTTTCTGCACCTATTGAGAAAACCATGTGGTTCTTATCCTTGCTCTTGTTGATGTGATGAATTATATTAATTGATTTGGGTATATTGAACCAGCTTTGCATCCCTGAAATGAATCCTGTTTGATCGTGGTGTATGATTTTTTGGATGAATTGTTGAAGTTGGCCAAACTTTTGTTGAGAAGTTTTGCATCAATGTTCATCAAAGAAATGGGTGTATAGTTCTCTTTCTTTGATGAGTCCCTGCCTGGTTTTGGGAAGAGGGTTATGATGGCTTCATAGAATGAGTTCGGTAGTGAACTTTCTCTTTCAATTTCATTGAAGAGTTGGAGGAGTATTGGTGTGAGTTCTGCTTTGAAGTCCTTGTAGAATTCCACTGTAAAACCATCTGGTCCTGGACTTTTCTATTTCAATACTTGATATGGCCCTGTTAAGATGGTTTAACTCATCTTGGTTTAGTTTCGACAGGACATTTTCTTTTGTGCAGTGAGTGCCTGCTGTTCTCTCATTCCCTCCCAGCCCCTCCCTCCCGTCTCTACCCACCAGCTGAGCAGTTCACTTTCATCAATGTCCAGTGAGCTCCATGGATGCACTTTTTTCCATCCTTTTTCCCTCCTTGGACCCTCCCAAACATAACATGAGAACAGGCTGTTTATCAGATAAAGAACACAGAAAAATCAAAAGCTAAAACCAAAATATATATATGTATTTTGTTTCCACATCTTGGGATTTGTTTCCATATGTGTAATATTTTATATGAATATGAAGAGACGCTTAGGCATTGGGCCTTTGTGATTCTCTCCTAAGACTATTCTCCTTTGGTCTCACTGTGTGTGAGTCTCTGGAATCCTGTGGCATTTGTCATATCCCAGTGCATTTTAGATCTAACTTCCTTATATCAGAGAATGTGCACTGTTAATCTCCAATCTTGACTTACCTCACTTCACATGATTTGTTCTAGTTCCATCCATTTCCCTGCAAGTGACATTATCTTATTCTTTCTAATGGCTATGTAAAGTTCCATTGGCCACATTGTGGGTCCACTCATCTACTGTGGGGCATCTGGGCTGTTTCCATATCTTGGCTATTGTGAGTACTGTGGCAGTGAACATGGGTGTGCAGGTGTCCTTGTCATGACGTTCAGCGTAGATGCCCAGGAATGGGTGGGAGGGAATGTCTGTGTTTAGTATTTGGAGGAACCTGCAGACTGCTGTGCTGAGTTGGCTCTACTAGTTCACATTCCCACCAGGTGCACAGTAGGGCTCCTTTTCTCCACATCCCTACCAGCATTTGTTCAAATTCACAATGCTGGCCAATCTAACTGGAGTAAGATGGAATCTCAGGGTTGTTGTGATTTGTACTTCCTTCAAGCCCAGGAATGATGAGCATATCCTCCTGTGTTTCTTTGCCATTCTTCTCTCTTCTGAGAAGTCTCTCCTTAGCTCCCCTGCCCATTTAGTGACTCAGCCCACTATATTTTAGTATAAATGTAAAAGCGGGAGAGTCTGCATCGCTGGCATGTTTGTGGATCCGGTCACAGAAAGCCCCACTTGGGACAGTGCGAACTAAGGTCTTTGGTTTTGGCACACGCTGCTGGGGACGCGGCCTGGCTCTGGGGAGAGCAGCCTGCCTAGTCTCCACACCTCTGCACCACTTCTGCCTGGATTTTGTCCTCAATAACTGAGAGAGGCTGCCAGACCCCCTTTCGCTCCACACATCCCGCCTCTCCCTGGTTCCAGGTTGACAGCTCCAGAAAGCAGTGGGGCTTGAGATCACCAGGACAGACCTGGTGCCTGCTTTCTAGAAGCTGATAAAGGACTGCGAGGCCAAGGTGAGGGCCGCGGACTCCCACAAGGTGAAAGGTGGGTGCCCGTGACCCATGCTTGAGGAGGGGGGACTCAGGGTGGAGGTGTAGCCGGCACCATCTCATCCCCCGCCCTGGCCTGCAGCGTTCTGCGAGAACCTCTCTGCAGATTGTCGGGAGAAAGTGATCATGACCCAGATCTTGCTGTGCATCAAGGTAACCGGATTGGAGGAGGGAGTCAGCTGGGCATTAAAGAGGGCCCAGAACAGGCTGTGGAAATGCCCCAGGCACCTGGGTCATAGTCTTCAGCCAAGGAGATGGAGACAGGACCCCTGCAGCCCTCCCCCAAACCCCCTGCCAATCATGTGCAGAGGAGGCTGAGGCAGGTCCCCCTGGGCCTCCCTCCCCTCTTCCTCCCAGGAACTGGGGTCAGATGCCAACCAGCACGTGAAGTCTGCCCTGGCCTCTGTCATCATCGGCCTCTCTCCCCTTCTGGGCAAAGACAACACCATTGATCACCTCCTGCCACTCTTCCTGGCCCAGCTGAGGGACAGGTGAGTATTCCCTCCCAGAGTCCCCCACCGAGGTGATCGATTGCCATTGCGGAGTCCAGCAGGTATCCCCAGGGCTAGTTTGGGGCTGGGGCAGTGACCTTGGGGAGATGGCAGGTCTGTAGGGTGTTGCTGTGGGGTGGCACACCCCTCCCCCCATTCAGGGCCGCCTTGGGCCAGGCATCACTGGAGCCCCATCCTCTGCAGTCCCTTGAGGTGCGGCTGAACATCATCTCCAACCTGGACTATGTGAAGGAGATTTTCGCCATCCGGCAGCTGTCCCAGTCGCTTCTGCCAGCCATCGTGGAGCTAGCCCAGGACGCCAAGTGGCGGGTGCGTTTGGCCATCATTGAGTACATGTCCCTGGTGGCTAGGCAGCTGGTGCGTGATCCAGGGCATGGCGGGTAGGGCAGGGAGGGGAGAGGAGGCTGGCTATCCTCCTTCACCCTCTGAGCCCTCACCACCTCTCTCCTCTGGCAGGGAGTGGAATTCTTTGATGAGAAACTCAACTCATTGTGCATAGAATGGCTGGTGGACCATGGTGAGTCCTGCCATAAGGAGCTGGCAGCCAGTGGACGGGGCACACCACTGTTCTGTCTGTGTAGCCCCTTGCTGTTGGAACCTTGAGGGATGCTGGTGCTGAGCCCTGACCCACTCTAACACTCCCCCATGGCCTTCTGCCATGGACCAGGTTCTGTCGGGACGACGGAGGATACCTAGGGGAGGAACCTGGAATAGGATGGGGAGATGGCAAACAGATAACTCACACACATTAGGAGTGGATGCTGAGTGCTGAGTGCTGAGTGCGATTTAATGCAGAGGATAACAAACTTTTATAACAGAAGTCTTCATAAGAAAGGGGCAAAAGGTTACACAATCTTGCTGCAAGGCTTCGTTCTTGGATGGTCACCAGCTGGTCGCCTGAAAGGGCAAAAGTTTACACAATCTTGCTGCAGGGCTTCATTCTTAAGTGGTCACCAGCTGGTCGCCTGAAAGGCACTTGTTTCCGGCTTATCTCTAAGAAATATAATGGGTTTCGACGTTTGTCACCAACTAACCATTACCTTATTTCTATAGAGGCCTTAATTATCCCATAAGATTTTTCCTGTTCCTTCTTTAATAGTAAGGTCACGGAGGCCTAGATCTAGCAAGTCTCAGTAAATGAGAGTACCAGGAAGTTCTTTCTCCTAAGTAGTTATCTCAGCAATTGCCATACATTCCTTCTGTTCTAGCTGCGCCTACAGCTTCTTGTAAATTTCTTACAATTCCTTCTGCTGGAGTGACTTTGTAAAACCCCCAATACTTTTATATTTGCTGATAACTTGTCTACTAGCCTTCATAAGAGGGGTTGCAGGGTAGCACTTAACTCTGGTGAGTTAGTCATATTTTTGAGACATTCATCAGATATTGGAGTCGTCAACACTCTTAAGAAAGAGCTTTGAATAAGGGAACGTTGACAATGAGTAAGCACAATGAGCAGCAGAAACAGTAAAAGATTAATAGGCACTCTTATACAGTGAGGAAAAGAAAGGCAGAAACACATCTTTCCCAGGGGCTTGCCAGCCTTTTTCCAGGAGTAGGCCTCTTAGAAGCCCTATTCTCCAAGGTAGACTTCGGTGAAGTCCCAAAACTTGGAGATAGGTTTCTGTAAAGCCCCATTCTCTGAGGTAGACTTCAGTGAAGTCCCAAAACTCAGAGATAGGTCTCTGAAGCCCCTATCTTGGTCTGATAGATGGTTTCCCATGCTAAGCTGACTCCACTGGAGTCGGCGTGGCAGCCTTCCTGTCCCCCTTGCAGTCTATGCCATCTGTAAGGCAGCCACCAGCAACCTCAAGAAGCTGGTGGACAAGTTCAGGAAGGAGTGGGCCCATGCCACCATCATCCCCAAAGTGCTGGCCATGTCTGGAGACCCCAACTACCTGCATCGCATGACCACCCTCTTCTGCATAAACGTGAGTGTGGCTCGCGCGCCAACTGCACCCAGGAGCCGGATTGCCAGGGGAGAGGCACACACAGCCCCGTCGTGACACCAAATTTGGGAGTGGAGAGGCCGGGGGCCAGGGCCAGCTCTACACATCCAGAGCTGGGTGGACTCCAGGCCTCCGGCACCCTTGGACTGGGTGTGGGTGACCTGGTGTGAGACACACCGTTGGCTGCGTGTTCAGAGTTGAGCTCATTGTAAATCGTAGTTGCGGGGAGGTGGTGTCAATTGTGTGTGCCTTTTGGATGCCGGTGAGGGTTCTGGCCGCCTCGACACCCGGGCCCAGCTGTCAGGCACTGACTGTACTGATTGTGTGCCCATGCTTGGCCAGGTTCTGTCAGAGGTGTGCAGGCAGGACATCACCATCAAGCACATGTTGCCCACCGTTGTTCGAATGGCAGGGGACCCCGTCACCAAAGTCCGCTTCAATGTGGCCAAGTCCCTGCAGAAGATCAGGCCCATCCTCCACAACAGGTGAGCTGGGACTCGCTGTTGTTATGCTCCTCTCCAGCTACACTGTTCCTTCCTTTGTGGTGATAGAGAGGGTTGACCTCACTTGGCAAGCATTCTGCCACTTGAGCCATGCGCCCAGTGCTTTTTGCCTTGGTTATATTTCACAGAGTGCATGTGTAGGCCCAGGCTGCTTGGTCTGTGCATGCTGCTCACACTGCTAGGAATAGGGGTGCCACCACACCCAGCTATTGCTAGGGCTTCCTCAGTGGCTGGGATTCCAGATGTGCACCACTGTGTTCAGCTGCCACTGCTCCCTGCTGCTTCCTGCCAGTGTTGGCTTCACTGTAGACTGAAGAGTCAGCAGTGGAGGTGGCGAGCCTAATGGGGAGGGGGTGTGAAGGGAAGGGAGGTAAGGGGTGGCTCAGCATGGCTAGCAGTCTGGAGATGCAAGGGGATGGCCAGGCCTGAACTGAGTTCCCAGCTGTGGGCCCCATCAACTTCAGGCTGCAGCCCTTTCCCCTCTGCTTCCAGCACCCTGCAGAGCGAGGTCAAGCCAGTCCTGGAGAATCTGACCCAGGACAAGGACTTTGCCCTGGAGGCCTTGACTGGTGCGGGCTGTGGGTGGGCGGGCAGTGGCAGGTGGGAAGGGTGGTGGTGCCCGGGCAGGGGCCCGGGAGGGCCAGAGTGTGGCAGTGCCCATGCAGGGTCTGGGGGCCAGATAGGCAGGTGGATGGGGAAAGGGTGGTGGGGCCTAGGCAGGAGCGCAAGAGGGCCAGGCTGGGCTTCTGACCCGGCCCTTTCCTGTTCCTCCAATTCTGTCTCTTGCCTGATGCTGGAAGAAGAGCCAGTGCTTGAGCCTCCAGTGCCTGGCTCCGGTCCACCCTCCGCTCAGCCCTCACTGATCTCCTCCCTCAAGGAGCCAGTGTGTCGCTGACAGCCCTCCCTGTGCATGGCCTGAACCCAGACCTGGCCCTATGCAGGTTCCCTGAGATCCCTGGGGAGATGTCACCTGGCCCCCTCCCAAAGGCTGAGGGACACGCGATGGGATAGACAGCAGCCAGGAGGAAGGTGCCACTCTGCCCTGTAGAGAGAGACGCGAGTATCCGGGTCACTGCCTCTTGCTGCTGAGATGGGGACCCCATCCCCACCTCCCTCCCACTTCCCTCCCCTCCCCTTCCCTCCCCCCACCCCCTACCCTGGTGGTTTATTTGTGTCAACTGTACTTTTTATATTTTATTTCCTTTCCCCCTCTTTTCACAAAGAAATAAAGGTATAGAAACAGTTGACCCTCAGGTCTTAGTGAGGGTTGGGGGGAGTGTCCTGAGGCCTTGGTCTCTGCCCTTTTCTGTGAGGACAATTAGTCCTAAGTGCTCACACTGAGTGTCCTGACCCCTAGGCATGCTGCCTGCTGTGGCAGAGCTGGCCAAGGACCCGGGCTGCCTGCGGAGGCCCTACTGTTCACATCCTCCTATTATTCACATCCTCCTACTGCTCAAGTCCTCTTACTGTTCACTGAGCCACACCCCTGCCCTGGGAAAATCATCCATGTATTTTGATGAGCACATAGCATTGTCCCAAAGCCTGGGTTTCCCACTGGGTAAGGCAAGCATTCCCAAGGCCCCTGTGGTCGAGGACATCAGTGTGAGTCTCCTTTACAGCTTTATATGTTTTTTTTTTTTTTTGGTTACTCATGTGTATTAAACTCTGGTCCTGGCTGCTGGACCTCAGCTCATCAGCTGAGAGCAAGCACCCTACCACCTGAGCCACAGCCTCACTTCTGGTTTTCCGGCACCTGGCTAGGTTTGTGTCTTTTAAAGTCTCGATTCTACTTGAGAAAAACATATTTACGTTTCTTGTCTGGCTTGTTTTCCTTCCCAAGATGTATGATGAAATACAGGTTCATCCATTTTCCTGCAGGTGCCAGGCTTTGTTCTTCATGGAAAGTTGTTTTTTTTTTAGCAGAACAGACAAATATATGAGATAGAAAGGAGTAGATGGCAATAGATAGCATATGAAAAATTTGGAGCTATTTGGTGGTGGGGAATTGATATACAGCATAAAGCAGACAGTATTTTCCGGATCTGTATACACCTGCCTGAACTATAAAGCTGTGACCCAGCTCTACTCTGTGCCTCTCAGCCAGGAGGGAGAGCTTGCCTGGCCCAGTTATAAACCAGCACTGCATAGAGATGACATTTCACCAGCCAAGACTGAAAACTGAAAGTTCAGGGTGGAAAACCATGCCAAGCAAATGGGAACTGACCTGAAAGGGAGCCCCAGTTGCTTGTCCCATGAGAGCAGGGGAGATATCAAACCCAAGTTAGGCTGATGAGATAAAGACTGTCACCCTCTGCTGACAGACAGTGAGCCAGTGCACAGATGCCTACTGCTGCCCGGTTTCATGAGCTAGTACTACTGGAGGCCATAGACCCTTAAGTCCAGGCCAAGTTAGAATGTTGGCTTAAGACCCCTCTCATCAAGTGATAGGCTGTCGAGCCCAAAGTCAGCCATAAGACTTAAGGATCAAATAAAGGAACAAGTTTACAAATTCAAGAATCAAAACCATAGCACAACTTTCCAGAACCTCTGGGATGCAGCAAAAGCTTCTCAGGAATTTACAGCTATTTGGGCCTGGCATGAAAACAGTTGTCTCAAATGCAATCAATGATGAAGCACAATATGAAAGCAAATCCAGAACAGTGGATAGAAATACAATCATAAGGTCTGGGAAGGTGATTCAGTGGTAGAGCACTTGCCTTGCATGCTTGAGGCCCTAGGTTCAATTCCTCAGCACCACATAAGCAGGAAAAAAAAGCCGGAAGTGGAGCTGTGTATCATCTGGAAGACTGCTAGCCTTGAGCTAAAGAGCTGAGGTACAGTGCCCAGGCCCAGAGTTCAAGTCTTAGAACTGGAAAAAAAGAGAAGGGACACTTTGGGTAAGAAACTTTGGGGACACATGGCTTACACACCGCTGAAGTTGTTTACAGACAGTCATCTCAAGTTGGGTCTCAGTGTCTCCTGCCGGCCTACTGGGATCCAGGAGAGGTAAGTGACTGCACCACTCCCCTGCCCCCTGGAGAAGCACCCACATGAAAGTGAAAAGTGTCTTGATAATTGTCACACGGGGGAAAAGAAAAAGTTTACTGAGAACTTGGTCTGCCACCCCAGATGAAGGGAAAATCACCGCTCCCACGGGAGCTGACCTTGGCTGCCGACCTCCTGGACCCCTATCTAAGGAGCCCTCTGCAGCTCTGAAGTGCCCATGTGCATCTCAGAAATGACCCGCCCTGCCACGCACATCCTGAGAGAAGAGGCGAGCACTTGTGTTCATTGCCACTGGAGAGGCGCAGCCTGCAGGAGAGACCCCAGGTTCCACACTCTGGGTAAGGAATCACCTTAGGAGCAGGGATTCTGGACTGAAACCGGATGCATGACAAAGAAACAGGGAAGGATAGGAATGGGCTAGGACAGTGAAAAGAACTGGGGTTCTAGGCCCCCCCCACCCCCAAGCCCTGTGGGTTCCTCACTTCCTCTTCCTCACAGAGTCTGTCCTGGTTTATGACAAGTGAGGAGGAATCCTGATTGTCCAGGGGCTGGGGAAGATGTGTTCACATCAGTGACTCTAGAATGGCATTTGAACCTAAAATTGCCCCTCTCGTTCTCTGTCATCCACCTCCTCCTTCAACCGCACCATCCCCACCGCAGACCTGGTTCATCTTCCTGGTATTTCTTCTGTGAAATGTGGGCTCCGTGTTGAGGAAATGGTGACACCTGGGACCCACGCCCCCAGCCAGTGTATTGAGGTTTAAGTGCATGTGACCCCAGGAATGTGTCACGCATGTTTCAAGTTTCTTTCTTTAGTCAGTCAGAGAGCTTGAACTTGGGGCTTGCCCATGTTCCTTGAGCCCTTTTTGCTCATGGCTAGGCCTCTACCACTTTGAGCACAGGTCTACTTCTGGCTTGCTGGTGCTTAACTGGAGAGAAGAGTCTCACAGACTTTACTTCTCTGGTCTGGCTTTGAATTGGGCATCCAAGGTCTCAGCCCTTGAGTAGCTAGGATTACAGGCTTGAGCCACTAGGGCCTTGCTTGTTTAGAATCTTAGATCTGATTCTACAGAGGAGAAATGTAGCTGCCTTCATCTCAGAAGCTGATTCACCTTCCCTTAATGCCATTCTCCAGGTTCACCCATTTCCCTGAACATGCCGTCTTCCTCTTCCCAATGGATGAATAGAATTGGATTTTTCCTAATACATGAGAGACAGTAGGACAGTATTTGCAGTGGTGTGAATGCAGGATGGAGAATGTTGAGTTCCCTTGGCACCATGAAGGCCTCAGTTTCCCAAGCCAGAGCCTCTGAATGAGACTCAAGGAACAGAGAGGATGGGAGATGCCCATGTGTCTATGGGGGTGATCCTCTTAGGCCAGACTGTGGTTGGGTTTGTGGGTAATTTGTCTCTTCTCTCCCATTATCTATTCCTTTCCTGCATGGGGAACAGGATGAGAGCCACAGACTTGATTCTTAGGCACTTAATTGTGGCCAACTTCCTAAGTCTTCTGTGTAGGAGTGTTCCCCAAACCATGGTGGCTTTGTGCTGGAGAATTTTCTTAAATGATGTGTGGTGCAAAATTGTCTTCTATCTTCACTGAGTGGGCAGGGTGGTGTCGATTGTTAGAACTTGCTCCCTGAGCATCTTCCTTGCTGTCAGCATCAGTCAGGGAGACTCCAGGTGGGCAGGGCTGAAGGGGAGAGCCCACAAGCACATTGTCTCCACAGTGTACCTCAGCTGGGGGGGATCTTCCTCCTCCTGAGAATTGTTTGTCTCATGTACATGATCGGACCCAAAGCACATGACAATATAACGAGCTTAAAAGCCTATGGATACTGTTCTTCCATGTGTAATGATCCAGTTGCTGACGTGCTGCACGTGGCCATACTCTCGGTGCCTGATGTTCTGTGTCTGGGGCTCATGCTCTGGGCCAGCACCTCCATGCTCTTCATCCTGTACAGACACAAGCAGAGAATGCGACACATCCAGAGGACCAGTGTCTCCACCAGAGCCCCTCTGGAGTCCAGAGCCACCATAAGCATCCTCCTCCTGGTGAGTGCCTTCGTCTCCTTTTATACCATGTCCTGCATCTGTCAGATTTGCTTATCTGTAATTTACAACCCCAGCCCTGTGCTGCACCATATAGCGGAATTTGCTATGGGCTGTTTCCCAGCCCTCAGCCCTTTCCTGCTCATGAGCGGACACTCCATTCCCTGCAGCTTCCTCTTCACCTGCACAAAGAAGAAGAAAGTGGTCCTCCCCTGAGGACCACCAAGCTCGCATCTCTGCTTAACTTTGCTTGGCCATTCAACAATCTCCACACCTAGATAAAAGTCATCTGCTGAGAGATAGAGGTGTGCGCACGTGTCCACACCTGTGCATTTGTGTGCTATATATCTCTGTGTGTGTTCATCTGTCTCTGTTTTGCTGGCCCAGAGAATTATATGAATGTGGAAATATGAGATTTTGAATAATGCCTATTAGGTCATGTCAAGTTCCTCCCGAGAATCTGCCCCATTAATTGGTAGTCGTGTCAAATTCAAGATATACTGGTTAAACTCGCTTAACAGGTTTTCCTAATTGCATTTTGAGTCTTTTGATTTTTTTTCTTTCTTTCGTAATAGTTCCCTGTGCAATAGAGCAAATAATTCTTAAAGCCCTTTCTGTTCTGGAGAAGAAAATAGTTGGAAAGAAAATATCAGCTGGCAATTGTTTCTAACATATTTAAAAGATGATTTCTATGTTGCTTTGTATGTCCTTCCTCCATGGTATAACCCATGCTTTCACTGTATTTGATGTTGGTATAATTTGTGGAGGGGGAGGGAAAAAACAAATCTTTTAACTAGGGATACAGGTGGACCCATTGCAACAATGAGATGTACAGTTGTTATGTGGAAAAATGAACTTTACAACTTTGGTGTGGGGGAGAATCGGGTTGGGGGAGGGCGGGAGTATGGGAAGGGATGGGAAGGGGAAACAAAGAGGAGGCAAAAATGCTTGATAGGAAACATATTCGTTATCTTACCCATATAATTGTAACTCCTCTGTAGGGTATTCTTACAATAAAAAAAATAAAGAAAAGAAAATAGCAGCTGGGTGTGGTGGTTGATGCCTGTGTTCTGAGTTCATGAGGAGGCGAGATCTAAGGATCACATTTCAAAGCCAGTCTAGGCAGAAAACTCTCTGAGACTCTCATCTCCAATAAACCACTAAACAAACAAACAAACATGGAGGTGGTGCTGTGGCTGAAGTGGTAGAGCATTAGCTTTGAGCAAAATCTTCCCAGGGACAGAATGGAGGCCCAGATTTTAAGCCCCAGGCCTGGCACAAAGAAGGAAAGTGAGAATGAGGGACACAGACACACAGACAGAGACAGACAGAGAAGAGAGAGGGCAAGCCAGCAAAGAAGGAAGGAAGGAAGGAGGGAATGAAGGAAGGAAGGAAGGAAGGAAGGAAGGAAGGAAGGAAGGAAGGAAGGAAGCAAGGAAGGAAGGAAGGAGGAAGGAAGCAAGGAAGGAGGAAGGAGGGAAGGAGGGAGGAAGGAAGGAAGGAAGAAAGGAAGGAAGGAATAAAAAAAGGGAGTCCTGCTGGTGTACCACTGACCACAAATATTAAGGCTCCTTCCTGACAGTTACTCCCTTCATCTTGTCCATGCTTATTTCTTACACATAATTTATTTTCACAACTCTTTCTTTTCCTTGGCAGTCTATGTTACATATCTCTAGACTCTTTGCTAATTCAACAAGGACATCAAGTGTACTTTTGAAAAGCACCTTTTAAATATAAAGTTGTTTTTAAAACACGAAGGCTCCTTGAGAAAGTCCCTTGCTTCGCTATTGTGACATTTCCTGCAGTGCTCCTCATGTCTCTTGTTATGAGGTCACTTTACCACAGCCTCTTGGGTGCAGGTCAGGGTTGCTGTGCTGAATATGAGGAGGGGCCTCCTGTCCATGGCTCTCCACCTCCACCCTTCTGTTCTCAGGAATGAATTGCAGGGTGACAGCAAGCCAGAAGTAGCACTGATTTCCCGGGGACAGTCAACAACCCTGAGCACAAAGCTCAGGGATAGGACCCAAGCCCTGAGGTCAAGTCCTGGGACCGGCACAGAAAAGGGAAGCAAGCAGATGGCAGGCCTGCCTCCAGGAGCCATCCAGGGACTATGCCGGGTGCTGTGTGGACTGTGGGCTCCGAGCCAGGTGCCTCCTCCTGATCCTGAAGTTCCCACAGCCACCCCACCGCAGAAAGGCTTGAACCACAGGTCCCGTCCCTGCACTCCCTCCCCCCACACTCACTTTAGCTAGATTCCCTCCATGCCCCATGCCCTTAATCCAGCCCAAAGTCATTCCACCCAGCACACGCATGCTCTGGTCTCCATGGGGAGCTGTCTGGTGTCATCATTAACCTCACACACACCTGGTCCTCTCCTGACCCCTGGTGTTCCCGTCCAAATAGGTCCTCCCCATCTGTGTCACCTTGGAGAGTGTGGATGTGGACTTAGCCTCCTGACCTAGGAGCAGCGTGTGTCCTCCACCAGCTCCCTGCCTTGTGAGGGGACACAGGCATTCCCTGCCCCCAACCCACCCCTTCTCAGCACCCGATCCCCAGCAGCACCCCACCCTCCACCCACCTCACACTCTGTCTTGAGCATGATCCAAATCCAAGACAACCCAAGCCCTGCACTACCCCTCCCCCACAGCGCTCCGCAAGCTCCACACGCTTTTCCTCTTTTATTTTTTGGTTGACCTTGGGGCTTGAACTCTGGGCCTAGGTGCTGTCAATCAGCTATTCAGCTCAAGGTTAGGCTCTGCACCCCATGCATCCCTGCAGTACACTGGATGCACAGACACCCATCCTCATGCTGACATGCAGCCCTGTCTGGACTCATTACTTCTGGAGAGTTCCCACATTTAGGAGGTTTTTCTCTGCTGCGGACTGGCTCTGTCGGGATGACGGAGGACACCTAGTGGAGGTAACTGGAATAGGTGGGGAGATGGCAAACAGACAACTCACACACAAGAGGCTTTGTCGGGACGACGGAGGACACCTAGTGGAGGTAACTGGAATAGGTGGGGAGATGGCAAACAGACAACTCACACACAAGAGGAGTGAATGCTGAGTGCAATTTATTGCAGAGGATAACAAGCTTTTATAGCAAAAGTCTCCATGAGAAAGGGCAAAAGTTTACACAATGTTGCTGCAAGACTTCGTTCTTGGGTGGTCACCAGCTGGTCGCCTGATCTTGGTTTTTGGATGACGAGGTATGACAATAGGCACTTGTTCCAGGCTTTACCTCTATTTTTAAGAAATACAATTGGTTTCGATGTTTATCACCTATTAACCACTAACCAGAGCATATGGACAAGCTGCTGAACAGAAAGGCATGAAGTCTAGTACTTCATAGGTACTTTTGTTTAGTTTTATACTTTATAAGTTTCAAATCTTTTCTAAGCAATTGTGCTTCTTTGACATTCTTTAGGGGGTCCCCAATTTGTGGCCCAAAATCATGATATTCAGTATACTTAGTTAAATCTGGCCATATATCAAATTTAAGCTCATAGTGTCTTTTCTGTAACCCTTTCACATAATCGTTTACTCTTCTCCATAGAGGCCTTAACTGTCTCATAAGATCTTTCTTGTTCCTTCTTTGATAGTAAGCACCAAGGAGGCCTAGATCTAGCAAGTCTCTCAGTAAATGAAAGAGAGTAATAGGAAGTTCTTTCTCCTAAGTAGTTTTCCCAACGGTTGTGATCCTTATCATACACACCTGTTAAAGGCTATGGATCTGGGGGAAGTCTTTAGGGTCCTCTAGATAATGGAGGATCCCACCATTTTCCTCTGATAAGCCATTGCCACCTTCCATCTACCAACTTTTTAGGAATGTTATTTAGCTTTTGGTCTAAATAGCCCTCTACAGCTTTCTTATCTACAGGATATCTATATGAGTCTATTGTATATGCTTTAGGATTAAACGGAAGTCTCCAATAGCCATACACTCTTTCTGCTCTAGCTGTGCCTACAGCTTCTTGTAAATCTCTTACAAACAATTCCTTCTGCTGAAGTGACGTCATGAAACCCCCAATACTTTTATATTTACTTATGACTTGTCTACTAGCCTCCATAAGAGGGGCTTTCAGAGTAGCACTTAACTCTGGTGAGTTAGTCATATTCTCAGGACACTCATCAGATGTTGGAGTCGTCAACACTTCCAAGAAAGAGCCTTGAATAAGGGAACGTTGAGCATGAGTAAGTAGAATGAGCAGCAGAAACAGTAAAAGATTAATAGGCACTCCTATACAGTGAAGAAAAGAAAAACAGGAATAGAAACACATCTTTCCCAGGGGTTTGCCAGCCTTTTCCAGGAAGTAGGCCTCTTTGAAGCCCCATTCTCAGATCTGAAAGCAGGTTTCCCATGCTAAGCAGACTCCACCGGAGTAGGCGTGGCATTTCTCCATCTCTGTCTCCTCCTTTTCTCCTGAGCACCCTCAGTTCTGCGCCACCATCTTGTACGAATCCCTTTCCTGTCCCCTGTGTCCTTGCCACACTGTGGCCGGACCCCCCGACTCTTGTTCCCCCGCCGCACACCTGCCAGCAAGAGCTCACAGCCAGCTCCTGACTTGGATTCATTCACAGCAGCATCTCGTGACTATGCTCAATATGAAGGAGGGATGAGACACGCTCACCTCTCACTCGTGGGGAGGACTTGAAGCTCCTAACAAAGCCTTCCAGGAAAAATGGGTTGTGACACAAAGGTGCGACTCAGCTCATGAACCAGCTGGGAGGTCAGCTCCCCCCCACACCCTGCATGCTTAGCTTGGGGGCTCCAGGCCCCACCCCTTGTGCACCTCCTGCTGGTAGAGCATGCCACACTGTGGTTGCCATCCTCGCAAAAGAAACAGCCTGGAGAAGTGCAGCCATTGGGAGTAAAACAGTGGAATTCTGAAGGGCCAATAAAGTCCTGTCCTGGGGAATTTTGGGGGGGAAGCCCTCATGCCTGGTTAGATCTGGGAGTAACCATTGACTGACGCCTTGGACAGGCGCCATCTGACTTTGTTCCTGGGTCACACCCGAGTCCAGGCATGATGGTAGCCACTATTGCACATTGCACACACCTTGCCTAGTCAAGTCCCTGCCAGACTGTATCTACCTTCCCATTGTTTCTACTTCATTAAAATCCCAACTACTCACTTCTTACAGCTGATAGTGCTTTGGCAGAGAAACCTTTAAAGCAGATGGATCCTTGTTATAATGACTTTTTTGGGGGGAGATTGGCAGCGGGAAATCAGTAGTGGAGCTTGAACTCAGAGCCTGGGTGCTGTCCCTGAGCTCTTTTACTCATGGCTAGTGCTCTACTACTTGGAGCTTAGTGCCACTTCCAGTTTCCTGGGGTCCCTGCACCCTGGGATCCCGGCCCCAAGATGCACAAGCTAGCTGTCAGTACCCAGAGTTTTCCCATATGGCCAGCACAGAGAAAAAGATATGAGCTGGAGGTGGGTGGGGAAGCACTGTGTGACAGGGCCACTCTACACCCCTCAGGGAGGGGAGACTGAGTCCCATCCTGTGCAACACAGTGGCATGCAGATTTCCTGCTCAGGTACAGCTTACACTCTCAGCACTGTTCTCTGCCAAAAATCCTTTTCTATCGGTTCAGACTCGGTTCAGCTACTGCCTCCTGGAGGCTTTGCAGGCTGTCCCTCCCCCAGCCTGCCCCCAACCACCGGCCCCTTGCCCGGCTTCCACCCGAAGACAGCGCCAAGCCCAGCCACAGTCTCAGGCCTCAGGGCTGGGCAGGGGAGGCTGGGGCACCGGCAATCTCAGGGATTCTTCCTTTCTGACCTAGGACTCACCACAGGAAGAGAAGCACCCAGGCTCAGAGCACCACCTACAGAACAGCGACACTACACTGCTGTCCTTTAAGATGCCAGCCTGGCATTTTGCTCTAGTCCACAATAATGCTGCAGTAATCACTCACAAAACCAATCCTGCATGTTCTGCAAGCGTGAGGCCGAGGCTTCTGCTTTTCTGTGTGGACAGCAACACGTTTTCCCATAGACGGCTCCTGCCACATGCGACTGGAGAAGCTCCCAGGCAGCAAGTACAGAGAAGAAGGAACCGAAAGCCACTTGGGACTCTGACCCCAAGTGTCTGGATTCCCTGGCAGCTCTTGGTCTGAAGCTCCCACATTCCCGCCATCCACTGCCCCAGTTCTTTCCATCCAGGCAGGCAGAACATTGTCTGATGAGACTGTCCTCACAGCCGACACTTATGTGTTGAATGGACTGAATGCTCTCCATGTCTCTAGTATGAGTCACGTGACTGTTTCCACCTTGCAGAGCCCAAGGCAGGTCTCAGGCTGGGGGCCTCACTCCGGGTCTGCAGCTGTCTTCCAGCAGACTTCCGAGAGGACATCCTGCCTCCATCTTCTTCCTCAGCCTTCCCCTCAACACAGTCCTGCAGTACATAAAGCTTGTCTACCTGCACCTCACCCTCTGACCCCATTATCCAAGGCCCCTGCCGTGGGCTTCTTTTATTAAGCAGAAGCCATCTCGAGGCACCCCAACTGCACTGTGCCCCAAGAGTCCCCACCTGTAAGGAAGGGGAGGAGTTCACTTCTGGTCTTTTCCACTCCAAAGGCCAAGGTGATGGTGGAAAGCTTCTTGATGCTGTTGAGGCGAAGCTGAGGAGAGAATAAGAAGGGAGAATGTCAGTAATCCCAGACTCAAGGGAGCTCCACAGTGCTGGGAGCAGATGCTCAGCACACCCTCCATGCAATCCTCTGACCTGGATCTCACAGTTCAGTAGAAACAGCGCACTTTCTGAGTTCACGTAAGATCACACATGCTTCTCACCACTGGCTACTACACCACATACTCCACTTAGTAGCTGCGGCTGCATAGCATGCTCTGGGCACGGCCCTAGACAAGGCACACACACCTGAGACCTCACTGAACCCTCAAAGCAATCATACAAGGCGTAAAGCTGGCTCACAGCGTCAATCCTGTGAGGCTCAGCACAAGGCAGAACCTCTTGCCAGCTGACAGAGCTAAGAGGATGGTTGGCAGAGCAGGCATTTAAACTCAAGACGTGACTTACGGTGATGATGAGAGAACAAACAATAGGATACTATTACTACAAAAGCAAAAGTCATGTAGGCTGATGCACACCTGTAATCCCAGTATTCAGCAGAGTGATGTGGAAGAATCGTGACTTCAAAACCAGCCTGAGGTACATAGGAAGATCTTTTCTCAAACTAACAATGACAACAGAGGGGCAACCTCAGCCGTGTTGTGGGCAGCACCATGGGTGAACAGAAACCCAAGACTGTACAGGTGGGTCTGGGTGCACAGTTTCTTGCTCATTAACTCCCTCCGGAATGCAGGCCATAGGACCAGAGCTTTGTTTCAGAAGAGGGCCATGGTAACTACTGCGCCCAGCATTTCCATCTCAGAGCCATGGCAGTAGAACCGTGATCAGTGTCAGATGGTACATCCCAACACCCGTTACGAGAT